TGGGAAAACTAAAGACTTGGGTCTTGCAAGCAGAAAAAATACCTAGTCAAGGTTTGGCAAGAGATGGAGCTGGAAAGGTTAAGCTGAGGCTGCAGTTTGGGGAGAGAGAGAGCCTAGGCTTCTATTGAAAGACTTTGGAGAGCATGGGCGATGTGTGCATGCTCTGAGCTCATCGTCAGGGGACCATCGGGGTGCCTCTTTGAACCTCAAGCCTCCTCCTCCTCCAGTCCTGAGTTTTCTCAAGCAGCCGGATCCTCAAGGAACGCGGGCTACCCACCTTATTGGACACTGAGTCTGGCCCTTGGAGAAAGCATTGGAGTCACAGTGAGACACAACGTGAATAAACTGCGTAATCAGGAGACATTTAATCTGGGCCAGATCCATTTGGTCAGGAGGGTGATTTATCAGAATGCAAACACACTGTCAACGTATGGGAGGGCACGGCTCTTGGAGTTGATTTACATGCCCATAGAAGACTAACATCACTGCAGGTCTCCCTGGAGCCAGCACAGCTCTTGGGCTGCTGGCAGTTATCCCTGCACCCGACCAGTCGCTACAAGAGCCTCACCTTTCAGACCACCCCACTGAATGAACAGCACCAACCAACCAAGCAGAAAAGTTTGGGTCGGTGGAAGTTGTTGCTAGTTCCCCTAGCTGCACCAACAAGACTTAAATGATGAACAGTGACCTCATCTAGGAGCCACCCGGGTGTTCTTGGAGACACTGGGCGCCACTGGGACTGAAGAAATTAATCACCTGAAGTTTCTAGGCCCAGGAAACTTCACGGCTCCCATGGTTCAAGGAACATCCTGCCTAAATATTATTCTGCACCAGGCGTTTACTGCCTTCCCCGTTGCCTCTGGATTCTGGTTCTGGGCCCCCACTGCACTCTGGGGGAGGAAATCCCAGAGTGCCCTCATCATCATCCCATCCAGCTTCTCAGGTGACATCAGCCCCAGCCAAGGAGCATCCCTATCTCCCTAGCAGCGGAGCTCCTCGCCGCGCTGGTGAGACACATTAGACTCTAGGGGCAGGACCTGGCATTGTTTTGTAACATAAACGCTTTGCACCCAGGGCGAGTGAGTCAAGGGGGGTTGATGTGGAGTCGGAATAGCCCCTATCGCTGTTATTGTAGCCTCCCGCTGCTCTTCCTCCTGATTACAGTGCTCAACATAATCTATGGCACTAGGTGATAAACCCGCTGCTCTCAACTTATAAGCAAACAATTCCTGTCTTTTTTAAGGCACTTATCTCCTCCAGCAGTCAAAGGAAAACTGTATTTAGTGTCTCCCTGGCGTCTAATCCTTTTTCCCTCCCGTCCTCCTTCTTCTCCTTTGACCCAAGAGAGGCAGATTTTATGTAGGGTAAAGGAGCAGATTTTAGCTTCTTCCTGGATCATAACAAAGGAGCCCACTGAGCATCCAGGGCTTGTTGAAGAAAGAAAAGTATGGGCAGGTCTGGCTGGAGGCAGGGTCCTCATGTGGCCTGATGATAATGTGTTTGGAAGCCCAAGCCAGATGTGAGGAAAAGGGAGCTGGGAAATAAAATGGCAAGGAGGCTAAGGACCAATGGCGAGCCTGTATTACAACTCTCAGTGCTTTTCCCAGGCTCAGTACCAGTACTGCCAGAGGAAGGCCGTGTAGTGTTGTATTTACACAGCATCTCCAGGACATTTCATGACATCCCCATAATGATCCCCTAAGGCGGGCTGACATAAGAACTGCTCTCAGTGTTTAGATGAGGGAATGCAGCTAAGCACGGGGTTGAAAAGCCAGTTTTCAGATGCTTCCTCGTTAGTGTTTCTTCATCACTTGCACTCCACATGGGCACCACACAGCTTCCCTCGGCACCAAAAGTACTCAAGCAGAAACACAGAATACAAGCCCAAACTTTTATCTACAGGGTTATTTATTGTATTATTCCTGTATAGATGTGGTTAATTGCTACCAAGAAAATAATCTTAGCATTCTAGAAGGAAAAATGAAAACAAATTAGTTCAGAAGTGACGCTTTCTTTTAAAGGGGAGTTATGTTACTCCACTTTTGGAGAGGATAGGGGACTCCAACACAAATGGATAGAAGGGCTCAGCTCCCTTCCCAAGCCTGCGTCTGTTGTGGCTCCTGCAGGGACAGGGAGGGAGGTCATTCTGCACAGTGCTGATGTCTGACTGGTACAAGAGAAAGGTGTTATTGACAAAGACTACAACCTGGGTTTACAAACAAGGGTTTTCTTTTTCATCGTATTACATTGTATTTATATACTGTGTCTCTGTCACCCTTACTCTCCCCTACCCCCCATGTGTGCTGGCATGCTGGGGTATGGCCACACATATGCTATCATTCATGTGTGGGTGTCAGAGGACAACTTACAGGAGTCAATTCTCTCCTTCCACCATGTGGGCTCCCAGGGACAAACTCATGTGACCAGACTTCCTTGCTAGTGCCTTTACCTGCTCCCTGCTCCATCTCACTGGCCTCAAATGTAATTTTAAACTACAAATTCAAAAGAGCAGTGCTTCTCATTTCCCAAGTGCTCTGGGTAACTGAGGGTTTCCTCTGCAAGACTCAGAAGCTTCTTTGAACAAAGTACACTGGCCACCCAGGATGAGATCACCTGCTTGTTGGTCTGAAATGGAGTTGCAAATATGAGACCCATTCTTTACCCCAAACTCCAGACCAAAGTCACACACAGAAGGGCTATGACAATGCTGTGTCCATCTCCATGCTTTTAGTCCTGCCTAGGCTTATTTCTGATGGAGCATCTTCTAGATTGAGGACTGTTCTGGAAAGTAACTTATGGTGTAGACCCAGTGAGAAGCAGGCAAAACAAAGCAAGGGCATGTTGCAGATACCTGTGGAGCTTAGTGAGTGTTTCAGATGCAAGACAGAGCCAGACAAGGCTTTGGAATGTGGGGGGGCATGTCATGTGACCCCAAACAAAAGACACGACCAGAGCTTAGACCCAAGCCTTAGTCCTTGTGAGTGAGAGGAGATGGCAGTGGCCAGAGGTGCCGAGAACAAGGTCCTGCTCTGCCCTTGAGTATCCTATGCATGGCCACACGGGCAAAAATGTCAAGGCAATAAGTGTCACGTACAGCAGCAGCAAAGGCCTTCAAGGTCCAGGACTCACCGTGTGTGTGATAGTATAATTCACAAAATAGTTCTTAATGAAGGTGACTCTTGGGCTCCTTGAAGGAATACATAGGTCTTGAAGGAATATTTTGAGCATAACTAAGGAGGTTGTGGTGAGTAGATCAGTTGTCTCCCAAACAATATGTCATGCCTTATCCCTGGAACATGTAAAGGTCCTTTTCCGGTGCCATTCGGTTAAGTACCTTAAAATGAAACCATACTGGATAGCCCAGATGGGTACCAAATCCAGTGACACATGTCAAACAGAGAACAGGAAAAGGCCATGGAGAAGCTAGCAGAGGCTAGACCAAATATAGGGACCCATGTCAAACAGAGAACAGGAAAAGGCCATGGAGAAGCTAGCAGAGGCTAAAAGAGCTTACAACAGAGTGTGGATCTACCAGTTCCTTGATATTGACATTCAGAGCTGTGAGGGATAAATTTCCACTGTTTCAGGACCCCAGCTCATAAGAACTGGTTGCTGTGCCACAACACCTGGCAGGGTTGTAGGAGTATCTTTCTCTACAAGCTCTATTTGTCTCCAGACCTATTCCTTACCCTTGTTCTGATCCCAAAACAGGATGGGCATCTTCCATCTGTGCCTTTACATGGTGTGGCCTCTGTGTGAACCTATGTCTGACTCTCTTTTCCAATGAGAACACCTCCTATGTTAGACTGGAGGCCACACTAATGATATCATATTGACTAATTATCAGCTTTCAGGTGATGTGTCCAAATATTATCACATTCTAAGACATAAAGGTTTAGGAATGGACATGTGAATTCTGGGAGATACATCCCAGCCAATACCTGAGCTTACGCCGTAGTGGAAGACTGGGGGACAGTGAAAACCAAGACATGCCCAGTGGAAATGAGAACATCAGTTTCATAAGAAATGACGTCATTCAGTGAACTGGTGAGAACGGGGGCACTGAGTCAAGGTTGCAAAGTGCTGGGTGGGAGCCAAAATCCATGACCATGGCAAGATGCCAGGGTGAGGGATAGGGAAGGGAAAGGAGGATGTCTTACAGGAGTTAAGAGAAGAGGAGGGCGAGAATAAGACTAGCTTCCAGGTGCATGTGAGAAATCCCTGAAGCTTCCAGAAGGTTCAAGCTGGGAATGAAAATGTAAAAAGAAAAAAGGTTTTCATGCTGGGTGTTGAATCCCAGGTACTTGGAAGGCCGAGACAAGGGGATAACAGGTGAAGACCCTCCTGGGTTACATGACAATACCCTGTCTATAATATATAGTTGAGGAATCCAGTGAAATAGATGAGTGATAGAGTGATTACCTAGCATGTTCAAGAGCCTAGGCTAAATCTGAAGTACAAGAAAGAAGAAAGAGGGAGGGAAGAAAGGAAGGAAGGAAGGAAGGAAGGAAGGGTTCTCATCATTAATGCAACCCCTAAATTGAAAGTCTCTACATTTTGAAAGGAATTAAGTTCTTCCCGAGACCTAACCCTCCACACAACACAAACATATACACAAGGTGTCTGGTGTCCTTTATGTTGTGTCCCTGTGAAAAACAAAACTTGGGGAATGCAAAAAGTCCTTGCAGGGAAGGGGAAAATTCAGGAGGCTGAATTCTTTATAGAACAGCCATGCCTGTGTGCTAGCCACATGCAGCCTACAGCCCCTTCAGTGCCATGGTCCCAGGGCCCATATGCACGTGTGTCTGCAGATGAGCCACCATTTATTAAACATGAGACTCTGCAGGGTGAGGTGCAGTAAATTGTAATTCATGAAATTTATAAACTGAGATAGTACTTGCAAGAGGTCCCGTGAATTGTACTTCCCTAGACCTGACAAATGAACTCCTTTAAGCAGTGACAGCTTTAGCAGAGGGAGAGAAATAAATTAGCGGCTGAGCTGTGGTAAGAATGCAAGCAATTTTATTGGTCTGCAGATCTGGAGAAAGGTTGATTAAGGCAGATTTGGAATCCCCCATGGTTGTTTTACAAGGTGCTTTATCCCAGAGACCGACAGCACTCCCCCATATTACCATAATCTCCGTGGGAAAATGAGGAGTGAGTTACACAATGTTTAGGATGGGAAACAAAAATACATCTCTTTATGGTCCCAGAACAAGGTAAGTGTGACATTCAAGGAGGTCCCTGTGTGCCCAAGTTCATATTAGAGGAAGTTCACAGGTGGCTTTCCACAACAGTGGTAAGAGTTCTTGATCCCTTTAAGGGGAAAAAAAATAACAACAACAACAAAACAAAACAATCAAACGAACAGAAAATGCCTTGAGTTGCTGAACCCATTTTACCAGAATATATTTAGAGTAAGTGGGACCGGCCAGAGGTTAGCTTGTGAACTCACAAAGTCTGAGTTTATTTGGCAAGCTAAGTGAAAACCCCAGAATGCAGTGGGCAACGGTTAAACAGCAGACACTAGAACAAACTGCTTTTAATTATATTTATGTCCTAAGAGAATCAATTTGCTATCAAATAACTAATGTGCTAATTATCCTCTGGCCTGTTGGTTGAAGCAAGTCCCCCAAAGACTTCATTCGTGGAAATAACTTGGTTTCGACGAGTAGTTAGATATTAGAAAACTGAGACTTCAACCTTAAGATGCCAGATAGTCAAGGTTTGTCTTCCTTCCAGTTACCAAGAAGGGACTATTAAATTCAGAAATGTATTTTTTAAAAATCCAGACAGGGAAGGGTAGAACCCTAGAGAAGGGGAAGGCAGGGAAACTCATGCCAGTCAACCTCTCTGTGCCCGGGAGTGGGCTTGGGGTCTCTGGTCCTCCGGAAACTAATATCATCGTGCTTCAGGGTCCAGAACGCTGCCTTCCAGGACATGCCACCACCTTGACATAGTCACACATCAGTGGTTAGAAAAGGCAGGAATCAAGTGACCTTTCCATTGATAAAATCTTCCACAAGAAACTGTTTTCTGCATGTCCCCAGCCTCTCCATCTGCCTGAAGCCACAGACTTTCTCGGGTCCCAAACTTGATCACTGTCTACCTCATTCTCCATCATACCATGTCTCCACAGACAGGGACACTTGATTGGTCCTCCCCTTTGACTCCCATGAAGCAGAGCCTGCAGGGACATGGGACCTTTGCCAGCTTCAGAAGCTAGCTTGCCAAGGTGGAGAAAGGCAGGTCACAGCCTTGCTGTGGTGCAGACCTGAGCAATTTGTCACAGCCACAGGAAACTTCCGAAATGTCTTTCCCAGAAGCTGTGGCTCCAGAAGGAGCCTCGGAGTGTTTGTGTGGCCACAGGGCACCGGCATCAGAGGCCAGGACTATCCAGGCTCCCTGCCACAACGGGAGCAGGAACTTCAGGGGGTCGGGCACATAAACCACAGCGGTGAAATCTGACTTCAGAACACAAATCCAGGGGATGTCCACTTCTGGAATTCTCGGTCAGGCCAATCACCAAGATTCCTGAGACTGAGGCAGGGCCAAAGCTGAACTTCTCCTTTCCTGTGGAGACTGTTATAGCTCACCGTCCCCGGCTTCACCCTGCCTGCTCAGGCTGACACTCCTGTAGTTTTTCACGCAGGAACCGGTTTCAAAGGCTCCTTCCATCTCATGTCCCCCGGAAACGAGATCTTCCTCTCTTGCTTTTAGTCTAGACCAGCCCTGGAATAAAAATCCCAGCGCAGATTGTAAAACAATTATTTGCAGCAAGGATTTCTGTATTGCTAACAGTCTCTGAGGAAAAATGAAGCTGTGGGGATAGGCTGATGTTGAAAACCCATGGTTGCTTCCGCAGCAGACGTTTCTGAGCTCACCCATATAGGCTTCAGACAGACACCAGTCAGCTGACAGGGAAGCTTTAGCTCTAGCTCATCCACCATGTACTTCTATGCATGCCATGCTCCCTGTCTACAAGGCATGTACCCTTCTTTGCCACCAGAATCCTATCTCCAGACAAGTCCCAGCTTCCCATAATACTCATTGTCTTCCTGGCAGGAAGAGCTGAGTGCCAGCTCTAGGAGCAAACTGCTATCTCAGGAAATGTCAAACCCAGGCAGTGTTTGAGGGAAAAAAAGACAGATATAGACCACTTCCCTCCAATGCAACAAGCCCCTGAGAGCTGCCTGCGCTGAGACCACTGCTGTCTGGAAGCCTCCTGCTCCAGGACAAAAGAACAGTCACTAGACTTAAAGACGTATGACTATTTGGGGACCTAGTAGTCTGTTAGAGCATCTGGCTGGTCCAGTAGAGTTGGGTTTTCCCTGCCTCACCTTGATGGGGTTAGATGTCCACTAATGAACCTGATATTTGCTATTGGCAGATACTCACGTGGGAAATGACCGAGGAGCCCCTAGTCATCCTTTGTTAGGGAGGAAACACTCAAAGGCTTTTCTCTTCACAAAAGCCCTCCAAGAAAGGCTTTCAGCAGCTCTCCCCAGTCTTCCTGTTTTACTATAGACCATGAAACTGTGCCAGGGTCTGCTGATTATACACCCTCTGCTAATCCTGGTATCTCCCAAGGAGTGGCAGTCATTGGCGATGGGATGGAAATGTCCATCTTGTCTATCTTGTTTTGCAGAGGAGGATGTCATGATCGATATGCAATGGGAGCAAGAGAAGCTGTCAGCCTTGCAAAGAATAGTGGGTTTTCTCCTCCTCAGCTTTGAGATCTGTTGTTTTGAAGGGAAGTAGGTAGCCGGATTTTAAGATCACTTGGATTTGAAGAGATAACATTGACCATAGAGAGTTGTACTTTCTGATAAAAAAAAAAATACATAGTTTCAAATAGTCCCGTAATGAGTCACTTCTGAGTAGTCAGAAATACATTTCCTGTCATTATTCTTTGGGACTTGAATTAATAACTGCAAAGAAACAACTGCCTCAAGAATCTACTTGTAGAGTTAGTAAAGTCTCAAATTTTCTCAAGCACAGTCTTCAAGATGTGGATTCCAGTCTCAAAAGAAGTGTGTCCTAACTCCAGCTCCACCTCCCAGAAACAATGATGTACAACGTGGCAACACAGGTTAGATAAAAGTCTATCAACAAAGTATCCAGGACGCAGAGCAAGGTTAATCCAGCCTCTTCTCTGGCAAAAGCAGATCTCACAGGTCACTAAGGCCTGCCACAAAGATCTGATCTAAATACCCAATGAAGTTTCAAGGTCTTAAACAGAAAAAAAAAATCAAGTTATCTTGATGACATGTCTTGCTGCCCTGCCACTGAATTGCTTTGTAATGCTGGGTGTACCTTGTAAGAAATCTGGAAAATGGGTTTGCAGACTGCTCCACTAACCTTGCAGGGACACTATGACAGTCAAATTAGACTGTCCCTCAACAACCACAATGTCAACAGCTGACAAAGAGATGAGCACCCTGTGGCTGGCAGGTGCAGAGCAGCTTCTGCAGGTTTGGAGGTTCAGCTAAGCTCAAAATGGGAGAAAGAAAAGCAATGGACGTTCTAGGCCCTAAAGCTCTCCGCTGTGGCTTCATACTCCATCCTCAAACAAATTCTCCCACCACATCTCACCAGCCTTCTCAGAGACACTGGCTGACTTAGATAACTTGTCTTTTCTCCATCCTGGGGCAGAGGCCACCATTTTGTCTCAAGGACAGATTGCCTATTATTTTCTCTGGATGATGGAGAACAGAGCCTATCTGAGATTCTGGACTTCCTGTAGGACTGGAAGGGAGGAGACCTATGACCCCAAATGTGGAAGTCCTACCTTCTTGGTAGCCCCCTGGAGAGGTAGCAGCACCTGAGCCAGAAATTAGAGCTGGGGCAAAGCTTTGCAAAGAGTCAGTTCAGCACCTAGGTGGTCCCCTCTATGATCAGGAGACCCTCCCAGAGCATATTTTGAATGAATGTCCCAGGATTTGGGGGACATCATTCCAGGGAGGTCTGAGACTGAGTTTCAGTGCAGCAGATTGGGTATAACAACAAACTGAAATTAAAGAACAAAGGAGCATGCACTTCTTATGCCCTCCCATACAGCGTAGAGCTTACTGCGTGCTACTTTTCCAGAACATTCTCTAAGATAGTTCTGCTTTTCTCAGATACTCCATATCTTAGAAGAAAGGTTTTAAGAATCATCACAGGCTGATCCTACCCCTAGTCTACACTGGAAAATACCAACCCAGCAAATATTTCCTCTATAATCTGAAACTCAAGCCCTGAAATCCCCACTCCACCCACTGTAGGGAGCCGTCCCTGCATTCTCCATTACAAGATGGCGCCTGCATCCGGCAGGCACCAAATGTAAACAAGATTATTGCGCAGGCGCTGGGTAATTTTCCATTCCTTGATCTCTGCCTATTCCGTGGCGTCATATGGCCGGATGAGCTACAGCCAATCATGGGGTGACACGTCCCAGGCGGCGGCTGCCAGCCTTTATTAGGGGACGGGATTCTTGGCTCAGGGTCTCCGCTCTGATAAGCTTATGCTCTCCTCTCAAGACGCATTAAAGCTTGTCTGCAGAAGGATCCGAGTGTCCCGTGTATGATTTCTTGCTGGCGAGAAATACAGCCCGCGCGGGACAACCCACTACACTTCCCAACAAACCTTGGGCAGTAAAAGGTTTTGTCTTTCTATTATACACAAAGGAACACACCAAGAACACACCAAGAAACAGTTACAAAACTTTATAACTAGCAAACGCTGCAGATTATTAGCAAGCAAGAAGAAATGTTGAGCATTACTAACCAACAAAGGCTCGCAGGAGTGTTGTCTTTTTGTAACACTGAAAAAAATTAAGAACCAGATGTGTTAACCAATTTGCTAAGGACATGGCACAATTAAACAACAGAGCTGGGGTTAGAACCTAGCTCTGGGCCTGAGGGTCTGTGGTCAGCCCCTGTGAGGCTCCCGGTTCAGTCCCACTGGACAATGGATTCTCGGTTACCTAATGTGACCATACACCACGCAGCATGTTCCCATTTCTCTGACACATATGTAAAGACCTGGAAGCATGATCATCACCATGCTTGTCTACCTCCAGGAAAAGCTATAAGTTCTAGTAGTGTCTGCTGGTCTGTGGCTGAACTGTGCCGATCGGCTCACTGCATGTGGTGAGAGGGGTGGGGCCCTGGTGACAGACAGACTGTGATGTATTAGATGTGCTGTATGCTGATGTTGTTTGGGGTTTGTCAGAGCTTCACTTAAGCACTCCCCAAAGTGTCATAGCTTAGTTTATCCCATGCTCTATCTGCAGAAGCAAATGGCAGGGAGTGGCCATCATTCCTCTTAAGGTCACCACAGGCTTGGAAAGTGCCAACCCTTTCCTGGAGGCCAGTGACAGGTACCATGCAAGCCTACCGCCTCACTCTCACCCAGGGGCACTTCTCTCTGCTGTCTGTCACGGGATGAAGGGATCTGGCAGATTCCTGAGCTCAGCCTCAGGTTTCTGGGAAAGCTCTCTCATACCTTTGGTCATGAGCTGTGCTTCAAGCAGGTGACAGAAGGATGACTTGGCAGTTTGAGTTCATTTGTATGACCACCCTCCCTCTCAGAGTTGGTCCCCAGCAGCAGCCAGGTTGGGAAGCAGCCTTGGTCATCCATTTGGCAGTGACGGTCACACAGGGCTGCAGAGGCAGGTCTATGTGTTGATGCTCAGGCTCCAAGACCAGATGAGTCATCCGGAGACTGGGCAGCTGGGCCACAATTTTCTTTCTCAAGTGTTCTCTAAGCAGTGTGGAGATCTGGGAACAGTGCCCAACAGTACCCAACCGTAGAAGTCATAGAGGCTTCTCAGAGTCCTGAGACTTCTGAGGGGGTCACCCTGCCCTGAGAAAGAAAGGTTTGTCTAAAGCCTACAGCATGCTGGAGTGCCATGGAGTTGTCTTGGATTGACCTCTAGGTTGGTGGATCTCAGTCTATGGAACAAGGCCTCACTGGGTCCCTGTTGTTGCGACATTGATACTATTGTTCTTCTTGGATAAAGCACACCCTCTGTTGAGACAGCAGACTCTAATTGAATCCAGACAAAAGCAAATGACTTAGCTTAAGCGAGCTGCTAGAACAAAATAACCATAGGCCATGTAGTTTATAACCAACAGACACTCACTTCTCATTCTGCAAGCTAGGAAATCCAAGGTTAGATTGATTACTAGCTGATTCCATGCTTAGTGAGGGTCTGAATCTGGATCCTGGGAGGAACCTTTGTGATATAACCTCACTTGTTGGGAGACCTTCTTTCTTTTTACAGGGACACCAATTCCAATCCTAAGGGCCTTGACCTCATCACCTAGTCACTATCCTAACCCTCACCCATCACTTTGGGTGTTAAGATTCAGAGAGAATTTTTGCAGAGCTGCAACCCTTCAGCAATCGCCTCACAGACCTCTTTACTGTGTCTGTATCTCTCCACGCCTTAGTCCCTGATCTCAATGAGATGTGCAGTGTTCTAGATGAGAGAGCTGTGTGGAGAGCTCACTTTAAAGTGCACATTGAAATACTATACTTAAGCACAGTGCTCTGACCATCATGAGATTACAGCAGACACAGGCTGCTCTCCCAGATCCATTGCCATGACTTCCAAATGCTCATATTCAAAGGGTAGGGAAAGAGGGTGCTACTCTTTGTCAGCCAGAGCAAACAAGGAAGTAGACACGGTCACCCAGGTGCCAGGCTGCTGCTCAGCCTATGCTGAGCAAGAGAGTGTTCCAGTCCTCAAGTGGATAATGAAAGACCATGCAGTAGCATGTGAAGGGGTACGGCTGGCTAGGGTGGCAGTCCCCACAGCCTGTACAGGCAAAGCTTCAAGCTACGAGGCTTGGACTCTCCAGACAGTGGTCTGCAGAGAAGGCAACGAGGGTTGAGAGAAGCCATCAATTTCCCTTCCATTTCAATTTGAAGGAGATGCTTCTCAGCCCAGAAAGGGTCACTCTTTGTTGCAACAATATCTGACAGGGAAGTGACTTGAAGGTTCACTTGGGCTTAACTACTGGGAAATAATTCCAGAAAAGGGCCAGAGACATAGAGACAGCTTGGCTGCCTGCACTGAGAGGATGACGTCAGCCATGCAGATAAATTCCAAAGACTCTATTGCCCCTCAAACAATGTTTTACTAGCTTGTAAAATGTTCCAGAGCTCTGTCCATTCTGACGACTCCTGGGGGCTGTCCAGGGCGTTCTGGAGAGTTACAGTAAGAAAGTGTCTGTCTAGTTCTCCTTCACCCAGAGCCTAATTTCTTTTTAGACTTAGTCTAATTTCTTTCTAGTATGATTCACTGTTAAATGGGAACACTTGTTTCAGCCTTAATTTTGAATGTCATGCAAAAGAGCATGGAAAAATGAGCCAGGTCTAGACTGCAAATGGAAAGCTTGTCCCAGCTGGATGATGGCCACAGCATTTAAGTGGCTCCCTCCAACTTCCCGTGCCCTCACTGGGTCACTAGGCGAGCTCTGCCTATGGGCATCCTTGTTTTTATCCTCTGAGTTAGCAAAGCACAACATCAGTAAAGATAGGAGATGTGCTGCTTGCTGGTAACTAGCAAAAGAGCTCTTTGATCAACACTTTGTTTCTAGACATTCTTGCTGTCGTTTTCTGGAAAAGAAAATGGGATTTGAAACAGTAAACAAAAGCAGAGATAGTGGATCCAAAGATGTCAGGAAGAATTCTTAAGTCTGTGGAGACCTGGTATTATTTAGGGGGTTTGGTCCCAGGAGGCAGAGACAGCACATCAAACTGAATCAAACATTTGCTACCAGTCATGATTCCTTTATAGGGAGTGCAAGCTAGGTTTGTAAAGACCACTCGGAAATATATAATGTCTGGCTTGTTGCTAACAGAGCTGAGTTCAGTTTCATTATTGCTGTTTTCCAGGCGAGGAACCAGACACTTGGAGAAGGTACCTTACCCAATGTCATCCAGCTAATAAGTAGTAAAATCAGACCACCCAGTTGCCTAGCTCATCTGAGTCCAAGTGAATGCTCTTTTCCCTACCTTTCCGAACTTCATAAATAGATGAGTTAACCAGAGCTTGTGTCATTGGACATCAAAGGAGACATTTGTCAAAAAACTAAACAGGCATTTGGGCAGCTGAGTTTTAGAGGATGGTCTGCTAAAAAATTCCCTACCCCCTAACACATAATGTGAATGGCAGAGTCTAAAGGAGATGCCTCCAAGAAGCCTGGCCAGGAGGGCG